CTGCCTTTCAGCTGTGCAGATGCCGAAAGCATCCATCATCATCATCATCATCACTTTTAATTTGTATACCATCTTTCTACCTTACAACACTCAAGGCGGTTTACAAGCTGAAGAAACAAAAAATGTACATCTTATAACAATCAATGCAATACAAAAATGTGATAATAAAACATAACTTTAAAACAAGCAACTTACATTAAAAAATGTAATATTCAACAATCATTAGAATAGTATAGACCAGGGGTCAGCAAACTTTTTCAGCAGGGGTCCAGTCCACTGTCCCTCAGAACTTGTGGGGGGCCGGACTATATTTTGAAGGGAAAAAAAGGAATGAATTCCTGTGCCCCACAAATAACCCAGAGATGCATTTTAAATAAAAGGACACATTCTACTCATGCAAAAACACACTGATTCCTGGACCATCCGTGGGCCGGATTTAGAAGGCGATTGGGCCGGATCCGGGCCCCAGGCCTTAGTTTGCCTACCCATGGCATAGACTATAATTTCAGGCTGCAGACTTTAATTTCAGGCTCTTGAAAACAGAGGCGCTCTTCCAGCCTTCGACTCGTAGAATTGTAGAGCTGAAAGGGGCACACAAGGGCCATCTAGTCAACCCCCTGCAACGCAGGAAGCACTGCTCAAGATTCCAGCTCCACAATTCCCTTCCAGCTCTACAGCTCTGTGACTCGGTTGGGAATAATTGCACAAACTGAATTTTCTGGTTTGCGGTCGCCGAATCCACCCGCAAGCAGTGAGAATCTGGGAGCGCTCTGGGGCGACAAGGTTCATTCAGGAGCCGGAACCAGTTCCTCCCTGCTCCCCTCCCACACCCTTGTTTTGTATCAGCTGTATTTGCTGACTGAACAGTAATCTGTCTCCTGCCAATTTAAAAGCCAGAGGATGTTTGTTTTCTGGGTTGATGATATGCTAGAAAAACGTAACTGACCTCCGCAAGGTTTTACAACAGTTTGGAACAGGACTCGGCAGCTGCAAGGTGTAAAACAGCTGTGCGGGTGGCTGCCTGGTTATCTTAGTGCAGTGGTTCTCAACCTCTGGGTGCCCAGATGTTTTTGGACTGCAGCTCCCATCATCCCTGAGCTCTGGCCTTGCTAGCTAGGGGTGATGGGAGTTGTAGTCCAACAACATCTGGGGACCCACAGGTTTGAGAAAGGCTGTCTTAGTGCATCTGCACTTGACTTAGGAACCAAATCAAATCAAATATCTTTAATACGGTCAATGACCAGGAAGCAATTCATAAAATATGACATTAAAAGTAGTATTGTGCTACAAGTAGCAGTAAAAATATGGCCAGTTCACAGAATTGGTGCTTATATTTATGACCAGGTTGCGAGTTTTAAGTTTTTAAAATTCAATTCAGGAGTCGCTACTGTTTATTATCGTTCCTTCGGTGTTTACAGTTTGAACTCCTTTGTAGACATCATTGCTCGTCTTATTCTTGTTGCAATGTAACAGTACTTTGCCACGGACCTGTTAATTTCGGGCTCTTTGTCAGCTAAGAGGTGTCTGATATAGGTGTCGTCTGTACTACGAGGTATTTTCCTCAGAATCGGTTCGATCAGCTCTTTTCTTGAGTCTCGATATAATGGGCAGTATAAGATGACATGCCCAATGGTTTCGATTTCATTGCTGTTACAGGGACATAATCTTTGTTCGATCGGTATTTTATTGTATCTTCCCTCTAGAAGAGCTGAAGGGAGAGCGTTAAAGCGGGCCCTGGAAAATGCCCATCGGTGTTTAGCGTTGTCTAGAACTTTGAGATAGTTTGCTAGATGGGGCCTTTGAGTATTGTATAGAAGTTTATAAGTTATCGGAAGTTGGTTAAAGTCATTTTGGGTTTCAATGTCCCTGAGTCTTTCTTTGATTATGTTCTTGGCCCTTCCCCTTTCTAAACTTAATAAATACTCTGGAGAGAGACCATATGTCTTGGCTTAGGAACTTAAATCCACAAAAGCTATGAAGATGGATCGGGCCGAAGGAGGTCCATCTAGTCCAGCATCCTGTTCTCACAGTGGCCAGCCAGATACCCCCCGAAAGGAAGCTAAAAGTTGGAAGGTTCCGGGCAGAGAAAACAAGTCCTTCTTCATGCAGCATGTAGTTAAACTGCGGAACTCCCTCCCACAGGAAGCTGGGATGGCCATGACCCTGGATGGCTTTGAGAGAGGATTAGACAACATTATGGAGGAGGAGAGGGCTATCTTGCCACCAGCCATGGTGAACACACTGACTCCACAGCTGGAGGCAGAGATGCTTCTGAATACCAGCTTCTGGAAGCTGCAGGAAGGAGAGTTGCTCTTGTGCTCAGATCCTGCTTGTGGGTTTCCTGTGCGCATTTGTTCCTCCATCACTGTGAGTACAGGAGGCTGGACCAGGTGGACCTTTGACCTGATTCAGCAGGTTTCTGGAATCATAGAGTTGAAGAGTTGGAAAGGGACCGCAAGGGTCCTCTAACCCCCTGAAATGTACGAATCTCAACAAATGCCAGCCAGATTTTAAGTCATGACTCTCCAGGTCCAGAATGTGTGCATTATCCAATGTAATCCATTCTCTTAACCAGCACAAGCAGGCTGCCTCATAATACATTTGCAGGTCAGGCAGGGCGAAGCCTCCTTTTCCATTTATGTCTATCACAATTTTATGTTTAATTCTTGGCTTTCCCCCCTGCCAGATGAAATAGGAAATATCCTCCTTCCATTTTTTGAAGCAGCCTGAATTATTTATAATAATTCAGTAGATTTTTCTTGGGCAGTAGATTCATTTTGGTGGCTGAGATTTTGCCAAGCAAGGACTGCTTCATTCTCTCTCCCAGATCTCCGACTTTTTTTTTAATCTCTTTTCACAGTTTAACATAATTATTTTCAAAGAAGTTGAGATTTCTTACTGTGAGCCAGATTCCCAGATATCTAACTTTTAAAAACGTATTTTCAAACCAAACTGTTTTTCTAACGTATTTTTTGACACACGGTCCCACATCCAATTGAAACCATATCAGACCCTCCTTGAAAATATCCTAACATGGTCTTATGCTACGTACCAGTATGGCTGAATACGCTTCCAAGTTGCCTGCTGTATGTTCAGCATACAGGGACAGTCCCGGAATTACGGAAGCCGTCCCGGTTTCTGATTTGATCCTGGAATGTCCCGCTTTTCCTTTCCCCTCCCCTCCGTGTCTCAGAGAACAATGAAAAGTGTGCGTTTGTAGGTGCAAGACCGGAGTCCTGTTTATCCTGAACATAAAATCCCTGCACCAAATGGAGGAAATGGTGACGCTGGCAGAAGAAGTCCTTCCTATAATTTTGAAGGGAAACGTCAGCAATCCACTTTAAATCCTCTCATTGAAATTCTTCCGCAGCCAGCCATCTCTTAGGAAGTGCATGGAGTGTTTATTCCTTTATTGTAAGTGGAGCCTGACACTGTCTACTGAGAAGTAAGTCCCACTGTATTCAGTTGAGCTTACTCCCAGGTAACCCAGTAAAGACTGTGTAGCCTTACACTGCAGTCCTAAGCCTTTTTAAAGGTAAAGGTAAAGGGACCCCTGACCATTAAGTCCAGTCGTGGCCAACTCTGGGGTTGAGGTGCTCATCTCGCTTTACTGGCCGAGGGAGCCGGCGTGCAGCTTCCGGGTCATGTGGCCAGCAGGACTAAGCCGCTTCTGGCGAACCAGAGCAGTGCACGGAAACGTCGTTTACCTTCCCGCCAGAGAGGTACCTATTTATCTACTTGCACTTTGATGTGCTTTCGAACTGCTAGGTGGGCAGGAGCTGGGGCAGAACAATGGGAGCTCACCTCGTCACAGAGATTCCAACTGCCGACCTTCTGATCGGCAAGTCCTAGGCTCTGTTTCCGTGCACTGCTCTGGTTCGCTCTGTTTCTGTGCACTGCTCTGGTTCGCCAGAAGCGGCTTAGTCATGCTGGCCACATGACCCGGAAAAACTGTCTGCGGACAAACTTCGGTTCCCTTGGCCAGTAAAGTGAGATGAGCACCGCAGCCCCAGAGTCGGTCACGACTGGACCTAATGGTCAGGGGCCCCTTTACCTTTACCTTAAATCCTGCTCTGCTATGTTCCTCATCATTCTCACAGTTTCCATTATTATTATTATTATTATTATTATTATTATTATTACTACCCACCTTTTCCCTGGCAGGCATGCAAGGCAGCTTACTGCTACATTTCATTCCATTTATCTGTGGAAGGTGTTGTACACGATCCTTCTTTCATACATTTTTTTTCCTTTACAACAATCCTGTAAGGTAGGTTTGGTGGAGAGGTTGTCCTTGGCTCAAGGTGACCGATCTTGATGTATACTTGACTTCTATGTGTGCGGCAAGATCAAAAGCAGGAGAAGCGATAAGCGATGATCCATAATGACTTGGGGGGGAATGTTTAAAATTACTTTTCCCCCCAAAACTGAGAGTCCTTTCTGTTGGGGATAATTCAGACTGAAATTCCCAGGTGTCAAAACAGGTTATTTATGTATGCCACCACTGCGGCCCGTGTTTTGTTAGCCCAAAAATGGAAAACGAGCGAGGTCCCAGGCAAAGAAGAATGGCAACTTAAGCTGACAGAGTATGCAAAACTTGCAGACCTAACATATAGAATGAGAGAACAAGAAGAGCGTAAGTTTAGAGAAGATTGGAAAATATATAGGAAATAACTGTGTACAGCTGAAAATGCTGGCAGCGTTAAGATAAATTCAGCGGTATAAATAAGTTGTGATGGATGTAATAATGGAATATTGAGTGGTATAGTTTCTGTAAAATATGCAGGGATTTATGTTATGTAAAATGAACCATGGAAAGAGAAGAAAGGAAGTTGTTGATATTCTTTGGATGCTTAAATGAATATTCTAAAACAGGCATCCCCAAACTCGGCCCTCCAGATGTTTTGGGACTACAATTCCCATCATCCCTGACCACTGGTCCTGTTAGCTAGGGATGATGGGAATTGTAGTCCTAAAACATCGGGAGGGCCGAGTTTGGGGATGCCTGTTCTCAAATGTAAGACAGAAAATTCAATAAAAAATTTTTTATATACAAACATGGGAGAAGCTTCCTGGTGCAGAATAGAATGCCCCTGTTTTCATCGGAGAAATGTTGGAGGGTCTGGAGGCATGCCTGCCTCTGTGTTCCTTACGTTTTCAAATCGGATCAAAGCTGGTCTGGGAGCCATTGGGGTTTTGGGGTGTGTGTGTGTGTTGTGTAGGTCCTTCCTGATTTCCTGTGTCAGGCAAAGGCTCCGTATCTCCCTTTACAGTATGTGGGGTCACCGCACGCACCCATTTCTGGGAAGCCAGGAAGAGACCAAGCTTTCCATGTCATTGTATGAAGTCACAGGCTCCTGGCCGCCCTTCCCCTTGCATTTATCACCACCAGCCTGAAGAGTCATGAGAGGAAATGGTGCGTTGTTGTTGTTTAGTCGTTTAGTCGTGACCCCCTGGACCAGAGCACGCCAGGCACTCCTGTCTTCCACTGCCTCCCGCAGTTTGGTCAAACTCATGTTCGTAGCTTCGACAACACTGTCCAACTATCTCGTCCTTTGCTGTCCCCTTCTCCTTGTGCCCTCCATCTTTCCCAACATCAGGGTCTTCTCCAGGGAGTCTTCTCTTCTCATGAGGTGGCCAAAGTCTTGGAGCCTCAGCTTCAGGATCTGTCCTTCCAGTGAGCACTCAGGGCTGATTTCCTTCAGAATGGATCGGTCTGATCTTCTTGCTAGCCAGTGTGGTGTAGTGGTTAAGAGCGGTAGTCTCGTAATCTGGGGAACCGGGTTTGCGTCTCCTCTCCTCCACATGCAGCTGCTGGGTGACCTTGGGCCAGTCACACTTCTTTGAAGTCTCTCAGCCCCACTCACCTCACAGAGTGTTTGTTGTGGGGGAGGAAAGGAAAGGAGATTGTTAGCCGCTTTGAGACTCCTTAAAGGGAGTGAAAGGTGGGGTATCAAGTCCAAACTCCTCTTCTTCTTCTTGCAGTCCATGGGACTCTCTCAAGAGTCTCTTCCAGCACCATAATTCAAAAGCATCAATTCTTCAATGATCAGCCTTCTTTATGGTCCAGCTCTCACTTCCATACATCACTACTGGGAAAACCAGAGCTTTAACTAGACGGACCTTTGTTGGCAAGGTGATGTCTCTGCTTTTTAAGATGCTGCTTAAGGAGAGACAAATGAGGAACTGGTGGCCGTCTCAACTGGTCACCGCAACCTTGGTCGCTTTGCCGGTTGGGGATGCCATGATCAAACTGGAAGAGCTTAGTTTCCACAAAGCCTCTGCAGTTGCTCAGAAGTCGGGGGCCCAAACTTCAGTGTGTCTCCGTTCCCAAAGTGTGTGTGTGTGGGGGGGTCCCACCCCTGGGGGTACAGTGGCATCACCTGGGGGGCCCTTAGAGCAGGCATAGGCAAACTCGGCCCTCCAACTGTTTTGGGATTACAGTTCCCATCATCCCTGACTGCTGGTCCTGTTAGCTAGGGATGATGGGAGTTGTAGTCCCAAAACATCTGGAGGGCAGAGTTTGCCTATGGCTGCCTTAGAGGCAAGGAGGCAGCGGGGGGAGGCACTGGAAATGGCTTCCTCCAAGTGCACTGATCAATTATTTTCCATTCACCAGCCTAGAGCCCAGAGCCAAACATCTTCCTTATTTAAACTTTTACTGCTCTTCTTACTTTCAAAGCTGTTGCCTTGCTCAATGTTGTATAAATTAGTTACTGTACATCTCTGTACAGATGAAGGTTCGGTAAGTAGTTTTATATGAATGTTTCAAGCTATAAATTACGCAAGAATGCGTAAAAATATTTTTCATGCAATACTCTTTGCTGCATATACCTTTTTTTTTTAAAAAAAACTACAAGATCAGATCAGAGCATAAATTTATTTATCCAAATTACTTTTTCTGAGAACTTATACCTACAAATCGGGTTTTGAATAAGGGAGCAATTAATTATTGCTGTTTTGAATTTTATTATGTTACTATATTCCTGAACGGGTTGTGCGGATCGCTGTTCTGAGTTATTTATTTATTTCATGAAAATTTATGTGCCACTTGCTTGATTATAAAAACAACAGCAACGACACCTCCAAGCGATTTTTTTGAAAGATAAAACAATAAAACTGAGAAGTAGAAAAACCACAACCATACTTTAAAACATACAAAAGTTAAAACGCTAAAACAAATTAAAATTACTCCGATAGGGTAGGGGGCATTGAGGATATGTTTATTGAACCAAGTGTGCAGTTGCCAGAAAAAGTTGGGGAACGTCTAGCATTGGGGTAAATGCTGAAATACAGGATCTCTTCCAGGCCAGAGGTGGGGGCAGGGCGGGGCGGGACAGGGCGGCAGGACCAGATTTACCGTATTTTTCTCTCTATAGGATGCACCGGACCATAGGACGCACCTTGTTTTAGAGGGAGACAACAAGAAAAAAAATTCTCCCCCTCTCTGCTCAGCGCCCCTTCAGCGAAGCGGCAGGAGAAACGGAGAAGCTTGTGGAGCTGGGGGTGGGGGGAAACGCTGCTTTCCCCCACCGCCAGCCTCAAAGATCCCTGAAGCCTTTGGAGCGCAGCGGGAACTTGTGCTGCGCTCCGAAGGCTTCAGGCGGCTATCCCTGAAGCCTGGATAGTGAGAGGGGTCGGTGCGCACCCTCTGCCCTTCAGAGGCTTCACGTTGCTATCGCTGAAGCCAAGGAGCCTACATTCACTCCATAGGACGCACACACATTTCCCTTTAATATTTGGAGGGGGAAAAGCGTGTCCTATAGAGATTTAGGTTTGATGAGGCCCTAAGCTACTGAAGGTAATGGGGCCCTTTCTATGTCCAGCTGTCCTTTGTCAACAACAAATGGTCACTGTTTTTTCTGTTGAATATATGCTAGATGGTAATTTATGGACCTAGTAGGTATCTAAAGCAATTTGCACGTGTTGCCATGCAACCAGTCCATGCAGAATGTAGGCACCCTGTTTATAGAAAGGAGCAAAGCAGTGATATTTTAGGGAGCAGGCTAGCAGGCGGGGCCCATGACTTATATCATAGGAGCCTACACAACACAAAGCACTGTTGCTGTATGTAAAGGTAAAGGTAAAGGTAAAGGTAAAGGTAAAGGTAAAGGGACCCCTGACCATTCGGTCCAGTTGTGACCGACTCTGGGATTGCGGCGTTCATCTTGCTTTATTGGCCGAGGGAGCTGGAGTACAGCTTCCGGGTCATGTGGCCAGCATGACTAAGCCGCTTCTGGCGAACCCAGAGCAGCACAGGGAAACGCCGTTTACCTTCCCGCCAGAGCGGTACCTATTTATCTACTTGCACTTTGACGTGCTTTCGAACTGCTAGGTTGGCAGGAGCAGGGACCGAGCAACGGGAGCTCACCCTGTGTTGCTGTATGTCGGTTTTATCTTATTTGTTTTTTATCTTACATTTTGGAAATGTACATCCAGTTTTTTCTCCTTTAATTTTTTGGGGGGAACTTCGGGTGAGTCAGGCCCTAAGCTACAGCTTATTTAGCTTATACGTGAATCCAGCACTGGGGGTCAGGCAGCAAGGCTTCTGAACACTGGTTGCTGGGGGCGATAATTGCTCTTGCCATTGGCCTCATCCGGCAGATTCTTATGTTCAATGCAGGAGTGCCAACTTGGCCCTGTGACTGTGGGTGCCCGGGGCCATAGGTGTCATGTAGCCCTGGTGCCAAAATTTGTGGGTGCCTGGCCCCTTCATGGGGAATTCTGTGGGCACCCAGGGCCCCAGGGAGCCAGCACCTATGGTTTAATGTGTATGTGCCACTTTGCTAAAAGAGTGATTTTATTTTTATTTTAACAAACGCGGGTGTTATGTGGCACTTGTTAACAGTGCCAGTATATTAGGCCAGTATATCTCTGTCCTGAGATCTTCGGATGAAGGGGGGGGGGGTGTACAAATTTAATAAAGAAATATGAATAAAACGTTAGTTGAAGTTTCATACCACAATCTGCATGTTAGGAGAGACCCAACCCGTTCTGAATCTCCCATCCAGCTTCCCACACTTCTTGGTGGAAAGCAAATTGGACGGGAATCAGAAAAGTGAGATCATCCCTTTGGCACTGAAATATCCGCATTGGACATCAAAGCTGAAAGGGATCTGAGAATTCAGGGAGTGTTGGGTTGGGTGCAGCTTGGGAGGGACCAAAAGATCCCACCTTCTCACCCGTCTCAAACCCCAAAACCTTTGGGAAGAGGAGAGTGGCAGGTTAAGGGAGGAGGAAGAAAACTCCCCAGCATTGTCTGAAGGTAGTTAAGGCGTTGCTAGGAAATTACAAATTATTGAGTCGTTCTGGATGAATGTGGCAGGATGGAGTACTTGGCTGACAGGAAGAGAACACCCACCTTGCAAGGAGTTGCCATGGGGACTGTTGCATGCTTACAGGCGCCTGTTCAGCCATGGGGGGGGGGTCATTTAAATCGACCCTCTTTAAACTTCCCTGCCCCCCAAGTCTCCTCTGTCTGGCTAAACAGCCTCAGAGATATGCCCTGAAGCATATGTCCAGCTTCAGCCAAGGGGGGCAATGTACACCAGCCGTTAACCTCTTCGACCTCTCCTCAACAATTCTGTCAAATTCACAATTTATTTATCTTATTTATTCACCTCATTTATATCCAACCCTTTTCTCCAAGGAGCTCGAGGTGTCTTTTCGTGGTTCTGCCCCTCTGTTTTATCCTCCCCACAACCCTGAAAGGTAGGGCAGGCTGAGAGGCAGTAGCTAGCCCAACGAGCTTCACACCCAGCAAGCTTCATGGATGAGTGGGGATTTGGTTTTTTTTTTGGTTTTTTAATAATTTTTATTAAAGTTTCAATCAAAAATTGAACAACAAACAAAGAAAGAAAAACATCAAAAAAGATACACAAATACACAATACAAATCTCAAGGAGAAAACAAAAAAGACACAAAAAACAAGAATCAACAACAACAACAACAACAACAATAATAATAATAATAATAAAACAACAACATAACAATTAAAAACAATATCTCTTTTCCATTTCCGTTTTTAAATTTACTTATTTTCTGGACTTCCTCATACCTCCCTCTTTTGTATTCCAATCCAAATCGTTTGTCCAGCAATTTCTTTTCAACTTTTTTAATCCCAATCTTTAACTTTAATATAATATTGTAATATATAACTTCAACTTCTTTAAACCTGATCTTTAATCTTAGTATAATATAATATAACCTTAAAATTTTCCCTCTTAATTGTCAAATTTCCATTTCTTTAAACATTTTTAATCCTAATCTTAATCTTAGTCTATCATCAACTTTAACCTGTACAGCTGGAAACCGCTTATTCTCAGTCCAACATCACTCTAACATTCTTTAATTTTGCAATGTTTCTGAAGATAGTCTTTGAATTTCTTCCAATCTTCCTCCACCGACTCTTCTCCCTGGTCACGGATTCTACCAGTCATTTCCGCCAGTTCCATATAGTCCATAAGTTTCATCTGCCCATGGATGAGTGGGGATTTGAACCCTGGTCTCCCAGGTCCAAGTCCAACACGCTAACCACTACACCACCTTTTTGCGGTTGGCATCCATCTGTCTCAAGAGACAATGGAGTGGGCCTCTGTGGGATGTAATCCACTGGGAGCAGTCAAATACAACATTCCTCGTTTTCCTAGAGGGGATGTTTGGTCCAGCCAGTCGAAACTTCCTTGTTCCTCCTGGCTGGAGCATCCTTCCTTTTGCATGTGATAGAAGGTGGGCGTGACCTAAACTGTCCAGGTAACAAAAGGACGAGTCACGCAGCACACCTCTCTCTGTTTCCTTCTTCTTCGCTCGACCAGCTTCTAGCTAGGACTGCTCTGTTAGCTCTCAGCTAGCAGAAGCACTGGGATTATTCCTCAATATGGTGTAGATCCACATGTACATATTTGTAACTAAGTCTGCTTTCAGGAATCCAACTTTGAACTGATGTGAGTACACTTCTTTTATTGACTTTGAATAAGCTTGTGGCATCTTTATTCTTTTAAGAGGGATTCAAGGGAACTTACCAGGAATGTACAATTCAATCTATCTTAGGTTGAATTGTACAATAGTGAGAGGCTCACACAAGCCTGCAACCAGCTATCTGCTGAGCATGTAAAAAGGGGAATGTAAACTCTGCTAAATAAAGGAACTTGCTAGCGCAAGTTAGGAAGGATATTAATAAACAATGTATCATCTCCTGCCTCCCTGAACATTCCCACAGCCTCCAGGAGTGAAATCAAACCGGTGGAGAATCACAGCGCCTGCTGTGGCTGCAGAGACCGGTAACACATAACTGCTGCCTCCTGCGTTGTTTTTAGCAGCACCAAAGTAACGACTCTGGGGCTCTCTTGCCAAATGCCAGGTGGTTCTTCTCAGATGAGATTCAGAGGCAATACAAAACATAAGTGAGTGAGAAGATTAAAGATTAAAGCATTATATACATTACCAAGCAAGCGCTTCGATTTGCTACTTGGAAGCCCTCAAGATGCGGCAAAGTGACTCCCCCAGGTAGCCTTTGGTTTGCACGACCCTCGATCGATCATCTGATTTCTAGGTAGATAGCCTGTTAGCCTGCGTAGTTTGCCTGGCTGGCTATGTGCTACTAGCTACGTGCAAATTATTTATTAGCCACCCTCTCCCAATGCCTCACTTTCTTCAAACAATGTCCAGCATCAAAAGAATGTACCCACCAATATCCACTTCCTTCCAACAGATTAGGACTAGGACATTAATGGCTGTTCTCAGCCATCAAAGAGCTTAACAAAATATAGGAAAAGGAAGGAACAAGGTGGCAGGAAGAGGGCAACCGAGTTAGATCGCTAACTCCTCAGAAATACAAATATCTTCTGGATAGATTGCCCATACAGGGGCACAAGCCTGGGCAATGTGTCTGGAGGTCCTGGGCTGCCCAGATGACAAGGCCTCACGGATCTGGTCCACAGGAAAGCAGAACTGTAGCTATATTGGGGGAGAGACAGGCTAGGCAGGTTTTTTGCCCTGTGTGAAGCCTCCAGAGTCATTGAGGCTCCCAGCCTGACGAGAGAGAGAGAGAGAGAGAGAGAGAGAGAGAGAGAGAGAGAGAAAGAAAGAAAGAAAGAAAGAAAGAAAGCCTGTTTTCACCCTTGTCTACTATCCCTGATGGCTCAGCTCAGCTTCCACAGTCAGGTGCAAGTGATTGTAATAAACAAAAATCTGCCCTTATTCCCTTATGGGGAACACAAGAGCCCTTATAGAGTCCTTTGTAGGTTCTCCATCAGTCGGAGAAAATAACAGAGGCCAAGCAGAGAATATTGAGAAGCAAAGCAGCTCGTAAGCCTGATCTTTATTGATCTGTTGCAACAGGGTGCTCCCCTCACACGCAAGAGAAGGAGGAGGACCCCGAACAAAGGTGTGCCCGCCCCTATATAAACATTTTAAATTGCCTGCCCTGGAGCTCAAGACCACCCCTCCATACATCATACATACATCACAGAAGGGGTGTAGCTCAAGACCACCCCCCAGACACATACCTACATCACAGAAAGGGCGGTCTACAACAGAAATTTGAATGCTATTGTTTTTCTTGTCTGCCAGGTTATCTGATAATGCCTTATCCGATTGCCTTTCCTGGTAGTCTGCCCATTGCTTTGAGATGGCGATTCCCCAATTCCCGAGACAATGGGAAAATTCCCTCACCCCCTCCCTCCTTGCAGAGAAAACATTTGGTCAGTTTGGGAGTCAAAATGGTTTCAGGACGGTCTTCCTGTGCTGGTCCAGACATGTGGTCCACACATCTATGTATGTGCTTGGTTGGTACATTTATTATATATATATAAGACCTTAATTTTTTTATGTCACAATGCTTCTGAAACCAAGAGGGGAGAGGGCTATTGTGTTCGAATCCTGCTTGCAGGTTTCCCACAATGGGCATCTGGTCAGCCACTGTGACAACAGGATGTTGGACTAGATGGACCACTGGCCTGATCCAGCAGGTGATTCTTATGTTCGTGTGTGTGTGTGTGTGTGTGTGTGTGTGTGTGTCTTTCCATTTTTGGGAGGCTTGATGTCTTTGGAGACCTGTCGGATTCCTCTAGGTGCTTTGAGCCGGCCTTGCTATTTCGCACCAAGGTGTGACTTTTCTCACGTAGGGGGGATCCCCAGGAGGCACAAACAGTGGTCCTGTTCAGTGGGGTCTGTGCAGCTGTCCAGACCCATCGGAAAGCAGAGAGAAGTCATTGGCTGCCATCTAGAGCTCCTCACTTTTCCTTAGTGCTGCTTTTTCATTGCAAAACCATGGTGAATATTTTTTACATTTTTAGGGGATGAACTGTGTTATCAAACTTTAAAACACACACACACACACACACACCCAAAAAAAAACCTCCCACAAAATATATGGAGCAAAGCACTCTTCCTGGTTCAAATTGCCTTCTGCTTTCCCCTTTTCCTCCTCCCTGAGCTTTTGAAGCCAGGAGGAGATATTTGCAGTGAGAGGCAATTAGCAGCCCCATTCGCTGCTCTGATAAGCGCCTGGCTCATCCTCCAGGGCTGACAAAACAAACTGTACTCAGGTTGAAGGAGCCTTGGAGTAGAGAAGTTGTGGAAAGCGGGAGAGGCTCAACATGCAGGGCCATGGTGTGTTTTTTAAAAAGAGGAAGGCGTAGATCAGGCACCCCCAAACTCGGCCCTCCAGCTGTTTTGGGACTACAGTTCCCATCATCCCTGACCACTGGTCCTGTTAGCTAGGGATGATGGGTGAGGTATAAATAAATTATTATTATCATTTTATTTTATTTTATTATTATTATTATTATTATTCCCCTTTTAAAGCCATTGAAGTTGGTGGCCATCACTGCCTCCTGTGGCAGAGAGTTCCTTAGTATGTGCTGCACAAAGAAGGACTTTATTTTACCTGCCCTAAATCTTCCAACATGCTTTGCATGCAGGAATCCCAGCTTCAATCACCAACAACATCTCTGGGCAGTGCCAGGAAAATATTATTGTCTGACAGCTCATTCACACTTCCGCTTGACCCAGAAAGCACAGGTCTGAGTGGTTTTCCACTTTCCCCATGATTTCTGGGCACACGTGAGCAGTTGTGCCTTTGCCCTGCTTCTTTCATGGAATCATAGAGTTGCAAGGGACCCCCAACGGCCATCTAGTCCAACCCCCTGCAATGCATTTTGCATTGGGAAATTTTTTTGCCGTGGAAAATTCGCTCTCTGGTGCTAAATCATAATAAGAGGCAATTCCTTTTTTATAATTTTTTATTGAATGCTTTCACATAACAAATTATTCCAACAAATCATCTTCTATTTCACCCTGTTTTTCCCCTCCCCTTCTCTCCTCCCTCCGACTTCCCTCAGCTCCTCTCTCTGATTTTTTTAACACACATTATTCTCTGCATGTTATAAAAATGTAAAGATCCTCAGTTTATTTATCTATTATATTAGTAACAATAAGTTTGTGCATGTTTATTCAAAACCTGCCAAGGAGTCCAGTTCATTTTGTTGTTGTTTTTTTAAAAAAAATTGTAAAAGGTTCCCATTCTTCTTTAAAGTCACACTTGTCCTTATCTCGCAATTTATACATCAATTTTACCAGTTCTGCATAATCCATCAATTTCTCTTGCCACTGTTCTTTTGTTGGGGTTTCTTCATTCTTCCATCCTTGTGCTATTAAGACTCTTGCCTCCGTTGTTGCATACCTAAATATATTCTTCACTTTCCTTGGCAGGTCTTTTCCTACAGTCCCTAACAAAAATGCTTCTGGCTAGAATAAGAGGCAATTTCACAGAAAACCCAATTGCTGTTTGTTCTGATTCAGTGCTAAACTGCAGAAGGAAAGCTTTGGGGCAAACCCA